TATATATATATATATATATATATACTCTTTTTTTGATTCTGATATGGTAACCTTATTTATGGACATCTTTAGGAAGTCTGTACTATATGGGATAGCGTTAAGTGCTCTTCCACGATATTTTTCAATTTTTATGCGCGCCAGTTCGCGCAATCAGGAAAATTATTTGCTTTACATTCTGGAAGAAGTGCGATATCTTCTAAATGGGAAACGTGTAAAAGTACAATTTCATATTTACATGAAGTTTTTCGTGTATTAAATTCTTACAATCAACAAAAATACCTTACAAGGTACTATATCTTTACTTAAATTTACAGTAATTAACTCGGTGATTAACTTACGGCCATTGTAATATAAATACGAAAAATGTGTGCAAAAAAGGATGTGGCGCAAAAAAAATGTAATGTATATACGGATGCAAGAGATAATATGGTAGAAAGCGCAATGAAAATTGCGAACATCGTGTTTTAATCGCTCGCAGTTAAATAGCTACGCTTAATACTTGATTCTAAGTAACTTCGTAATTTTCTAACGACTAATGATCTTACATGAAAATATACAACCAAAAAATTATCGCGCTAAATTGTTTGAATTCGCAGATATGCCGATACTATACAACTATATACGAAAATGTGATTCATATGTATTATAGAATATTGGGAATTGATTATTCCTTTGAGTTTGATAATTTAGATAATAATTACGAATTCTTTTAATGTTGTATAACGTCATGGTCTTTCCAATAAATCCGATTTTAAGGAAGAAAACGAACAACAAAAACTTGACTTTTTTTTAGCTTAATTTAATTATTACATAGATTTGTTTGATTGAAAATTTAATTTGCTATTTAACTGCTATTTGATAATACTATAAAATAATACTCATAAAATAACTTCCAATATTTATTAGGTAAAAAAGACTTGTTAAAAGAGGATACAATTTTTTTTGTTTATTCAGTCATCTAAAAACTAATTCAAAGAGAGTTGAATCAACAATTTTGAATTAGTTTTTAAATGATTGAAGCAGGACTGATAGCAATTTCGTAACTACATGTGACTAATTTTGTTAACTTTATCTCAAATGTACTAATTTTTCCTTGAGCGTAATGTCATTATTAATATTATATAATAATTTTCGATTTTCATAAAGAAATACACAAGGAAATATACAAATAAAACGATCTCCGAACATAATGAAAAAATGAAAAAGTTGTATCCTCTTTTATTGAAAAATATTCATGCCGGTTCATATTTCTTTTTTGTTATTGATTTTGCGGATCATACTATATAGTGTGTTCTACATTGCTATTTATTTCCGTGTCAATAAAATACTTTAAAATTTATTCTAAGAAGCAAATTTAAGAAAGCTGTCAACAATTAAAAAAAAAAGGATAAAAAGCGAATTCTTAATAAAACTGCCAACATATTTTTCCATACATGTCAATCATAAAAATCTTTAAACTTGAAACTACATTAGAGCACTCTAGATAGAGTTTAACTTAATTTTTTCCGTAATAATCTAAAACCTTTGACAAATATTGCCATTGGCATAGGAATCACTAATGCTTTAGTATTAAAAATAGTTAAGCAATCAAACTTTGTATAACTAATTAATTTTCAAACCCGACGTTATTTCAATTTCTTTCTATTTACACGTACATGCGTCCTGCGACATACTTCTTATAAAAATTTACCAAAGACAATACATAATATATATCCCACATGTCTAAGGTCAGGCAGGTCGATTTGATCTCCATAGATTTTCTGGAGAATGCTTTTTTTTTGCATATTCTATATTATACGAAATTTCAGTTCTTGCTTTCGAGTAGCGTCACTGATAAAATATTCTCTGCTGCGGCAATATCGCTATGGCAGGATACTGTAAGAGGGGAACAAGCTACCTCCATATACTGTTGGCATGAGATCGACGACTCCATTGGATTTATTAACCTCAGAAGTGACAATATAAATGCTTGGAAATTGCAAAAATATATATATAAAAAAAATAAATTATTATTTTCAAATAAATAATTAATTTTATAAATATGACGAAGCAGCTTAGTATCTGAGCTTAGTATCTGAGATAAAATGCTATCCTCTTTTTTAAAAAGCAAGAATGTCACGCATTTGAACGTGTCTCTAATACTGAGCTAAGAATACAATTGATTCTCTCAATGAAGCATTCAGCATGCGGAATTGTAACTTCTAAGGTTAAAAACGGAAGTCAGCCGGTATCGTTCACACGTATTTTGCCGACACCTGAGATCTACCACACGGTACATTTCTTCTCGGGGTTCATTCTGGAGCCAACCGGGCAATTAAAATCATGCGAGAACTCCTCCATGTTCGACAACGGTCCTCGAACGCGGAATTCGCCTGGGCTGTGGAAGCCCGTCGTAATTCGCAGCTTCAATGCTTCCGGTCGATACTTGCTGCACCAAGAATTAGCTGCACTTATCCAGAACAATTGTTCTGGGCTGTACGGCAGACCCGGTAATTTCTTCTCCGGCTTGTTTCGT